CTAACTAAAGAGATCTAGTTATCAACATCTTCTAATTTTCGTAATAAAAAAATCTTACATTTAATCATGTTAATTTAATGTGTATTTTATCTAGAAGTATTGTAAATCCTATGTGATTGTTTATATATCTATAGGGACCCATAATGACTTGATCATAGATAATTTCTTGTAATTCTATGCCTTCAGTAGTGCATTCCTAACAGGGGCATCATATCACTAACAGTCTCCGACCTCAGAATTGATGGGTACACGTCAGAAATTCGATTATCCTGTATACTTTCGCTCTCCTGTATTTAGTTTTCTTTTTTTACCACTAAAAATGACGTTATGGGGTGAATATGCTAATATGTTATTGGAGTTCTATATTTAGTATCAATCCACAACAGGGCTTTACTTAACAAGATACTCAATAGTCTGCCTGATTTGCTTACTGTTGGCAAAAGCATATCAATGTTATGCTGACAGCTGATATAAGATCTAACAATGTCTACAATTCAAACTAACTTCTGTCTGACTCTGACCTATATAATGGTTAATGAACAATATATATATTTATTTATTCGTATATAATTAATCTGAAAATAATTAATGAAATGCTTGTTTTATGATGCATGGAAACTCTATTTTTATAGTAATATATTAAGTGTTACAGTTTAATGTTGGAAATATAATTCAGCTAAGAAAAAATAAAGACTGAGGTCTATCATATCGGTGGCAGAATATAAATGGAATAAATCATCATTTTCATTATTCTGTGTAATATACACCATTAACTGGTAGAATAAAGACATATCATGTAGATATACAGAATCCCTTCAGAATCAAGTTTATTCATATTTCAAATAAATATTGTATTGGATTTCTTGCATTATATTACGTCCATGTTTAAATCTATATAAGATTGTTCATATTATTTTTGAAATGTCAATTAGCAATAAGTAGTCATTAATTTATTTATTATAAACACAAACCACATCCAATCTTTGAACAGAGTTAAAACATACTATAATATGGTTAGCTATACACTTACTAAACAAGGGTCGGGATGACCTAGCGGTATAGAGTGTCACACTTCGGGCTCTAGCAGGCCGGTCACCTCCAATCTGATTAAAACACAGATCCTTTTTCGTTTCGTCTTTTATAGTTCAAAATTTTGTTTTACTTGTCTTTACTACACTAGGATCTGGAAGAGTTGTTATATAACCCATGTCTGGTTGATGTTAGTGATTAGCCAATGAAATGGTCTGTTGCAGCAAGTTCTTGGCGTGCTATGCACGGAACTGTGGGTATTCCTCTAGAAACATCAACGCTGGTTTGTTAATCAAATGTCTGACATCATAGGGTCAAAAGCTGCTTGTATGACCCCTGATGCGACCTCTCACTACAACTGGTCAGATCTTCATGTAGTGTAGGCCATCGGTAGTATATAAAAAAACGAAACGAAATACAGATCTGTATTTAAATCAGATTGGGTCATCTCTGGCTTGAAGGCCGTTGTGGTTGCGATCCCTAGTCACTTGGAGATAGGAGCGCCTTCTCAACCTCGTGGTTTAATCTGTGTACTTCGGTATCCTCCCACAGCAAAGACCCTTGTGTGTCGTGCACATGATCTAAGATATTAAAAGTACGAATCGTCTGCGATATCATCCTTGGTGGAAGCAGATGTTAAACACCACGAACAACAACTACTTACTAAATCTTATAAACTTTCTACATTCATAGTCAAATTTACTACAGAGCAGGCTGAAGGGATTCAAGATCTAGGGGGTCTCCAGTCAATTTGTACAATATTTTGACACTGTCACTAGTCTTTCTTACACGCACCATAGTCTTAAACATCTGTCATCATCTTAGGCTTTTCTCAGTTGTGTTTACCAGAGGCTGCCAGGCAAGATAAGCCCACATATTGCAAGAGATGGATAGAGTACAAGCTAAAAAAAACAATTTTTCGTAATATCAGGGGACATAATCCAGGAAGTTATGGTCCGATATGTGCAAATATCAAAAGAAATCGAAATCTCTGGGATATAAACATAATTATTTTAAGTTTCATCAAATTCAGATAAAAATTCTGACCTCTAGCTGGTCCTCAACCTTGGTATTACATACTTTTACACTATTTGCGTTCAAGGAGTGGCCATTTTGTCGGGCAGTTATGATCCAATTTTTACCAAATTTGATCTCAATCATCATCAGGGTGTAAGTGTGATATATTTAAATGATTTATAAAAAGGGGATAATCCAGGAACTTACGGTCCGATATGGGCAAATTGTGACCTCTAGAGGATTGATATTACATACTTTAACACTATTTGAGTGCATAGAGCGGCCATTTTGTGTGGTAGTTTCCCTGTGATTTTCACGAGATTCGAACTCAATCATCATTATGGTGTAACAGTGATATATTAGACCGGTTTTCTAAATCGGATAAAAATTGTGTGATTTTCACACAAACAGGGGCCATAATTCAAGAAGTGGCACAAATATCGAAAAGAACCAAGATCTTTGCATTATAAACATACATTTCAAGTTCAATCTAAATTGGATAAAAATTGTCCACAAGCTAAAAACGTGATTTTTCGTACAATCAGAGCCATAATCCATAAAGTTTCGATCCGATACATACCAATATCGAAAGGAACCAAGATCGTTTGGAGATAAGCCTATATTTCAAGTTTGTGAACAGACACACAGACTCATGGACGGGATCAACAACAATATGGACATATAAAAACACACTCTCATCTTCCTCTAGTTGTGAAGGTCGGTGGATTGGAAAGGACAACCCAAGTTAAAAAGCCTACCAGCTAGCTAGGGTATAATCTCTTTATCTAATTCCGGCCTGGTCAACATTTTTCAAATACAAGGTTGGAAAGCTCTAATTATTGGTGAGCTACAGAGTAAGTGAGGTTACAAATGAATAAATAATGGATATTATTCAAATTTATTGCAAATCAATATGCAAATTCAACAGTTACTATGATTAACAGCTGATTAATTACAACAAATTATTCTGGCTCGCATAAACTTATTGCCCTTGTAATCACTTTTATGGCCATTTATATAATGTTTAATATAATATTAATGGATTGAACAGTATGGTATAATAAATAAAATCGACAGAGCGTTTAGTTTCTGTATATCATATACTACTTTTATGAACAAGCCACTTATTTTTTTTCAAATTATAAGTTGTGATAAAATAAACATGTGATATATATAATGAACCAAATTTACATGTTATAACTATCGGTACAGAATATAGATTAATACTAAAAGAAAAGAAAAATCATTGGAATTTTTTTTTTAGGAAAGAGTGAAAAACAGGTGTATTTCCAAGAAACGGTTATTACCCCTCTATTCCTCCACAGAAATACATGAAACCTGGTGATTTTGCAAAATAGTACCATATCTTCAAAATGGTGTATTGCCAGAATTTTTTTTTCTTCAGAACCTCATTTTTGGGGGGAAAATTTGGGTTATTCATGCATATCTGGCAAATTCTGAGAAATTCATTTAAAAATGGTTCTTTTTTTCTTTCTGGCAACAGGAATATATTATGTACAAAATTTGTAGCAGCCAACCCTTGAAAATGGCATAAAAATTTCAACCAGCGGTTTCCAGGCAAGATACACTCATATTTTGCAAGAGATGGATATAACAGGCTAAAATCAAAAGCGATTTTTCAAACAATCAGGAGCCATACTCCAGAAAGTTATGGTCTGAACTGTACAAATAAAGAAAAGGACTGAGATCTTTGGGATATAAAGATATATTTTAAGTTTCATCAAAATCTGATAACAATTTTAAGAATCTAGTCGAGGGTCCACAACCTTGGTATAACATACTTTTACACTATTTGCATACAAGGGGCTGCAATTTTCGGTCAGATTTTTTTATGAAATTCAAACTCAACCTTCAATGATGTGTTACAGTGATATATTTAAATGGTTTTTAAATTTGATTACAAATTATGACTTTTAGCCGGTCCACAAGCTAAAAATTACGATTTTTCGAACAATCAGGAGCCATAACCCAGGCAGTTACATTTGGATATGTGCGATTATCGAAAGCAAGCAAGATATTTGTGATATAAACATAAATCTAAAGTTTTAACTAAATGGATGCCCGGACTGACAGGGGCAACAGCAGAATACATCCACATGAAAATTTGGGCGTATTAGAAATGGTATCATGTCCCAGCAAGATATTTTCGTTTTCATGGTCATGCAGTCAAACATTAATTCCTGAAATAAATGTTCATAACAGCGCATTTACTTATTAGAAATACATATAACTTGGAGATATTTAAAAGAATACTCAAACAGCAATAGGGTGCATTGTCAGAAGCAGAAACAAAATTAGATTGTCCTTTTTGGGGAGGGGAAAAACTTCAAAATTTCACACTAGGGTGACCAAAAACCCAGTGAGCCACTATAGGTATACAAAAAATTGACGGAATTTCACAAAATAACTTGCAAAACGATCTCGAGAACATCTATGTAACAGTTCTTCTAAATAGCTAGCGTGATCTATCTATATTTAGTGTTTGAAAACAAGTACATGTGGAAGCACCTATAGCGACTCATGGTGTTTTTGGGTAGCGCTTTAGGTGCTCACAGCACAGCCTAGAATACCAAACATTACGAATGTGGTTTAAATCATTTTGTTGATTGGAAGAATGGACAGTAATATTTGGGTAGAGCTCATAGTGTCAGCTAAATATAGGTTGGAAAGGAAGAAACAGCAGTTACAAAATCCACAGCCTAAAGTAAGGTAATTGCTGTACACTGGAAAGCTGACTTAAAAAGCATATTATGAAAATCCAGAGCTGTCTTTGAAATTCTAATGATTGTATTACCTCATAATTGGGCGAGTGGTTTAACACATGCATTTCAGATAAAAAAGATCGGTTACTGAGTCAGTGGCGGCATGGTATCGATCTCCTCTATCCCTTCCCCTCTCTCAAAATACAATATATATATATTTATGTATTTTACCTGTAAAAATGGGGAGACATTCCGTCCAAATAATAGAATCATTCTTAAGTTAGCAATACAGTCAAGGCAACCCATACACCATCCCATAAGCATTAAAACCACTAACAATCCACCAAAACTTGTACACGATGGGATTAACATCATTGCACATGACACACCCACTGCTCCTATTAATAGTAACAGATGATTATACACCCTGAAAATACACAATCACATAATATATTACATCAAATAATAAATTAGATCACATAATAAACCATCACATAATATATTAGTTCACATAACAAACAATCACATATTATATTAAATCAAATAATAAACAATCACCTAATATATTAGATCACATAATAAACAATCACATTAAAAGTTAAATCACTTTATAAACAGTCACTTTATAAACCAACACATAATATATTAGTTCACATAACAAACAATCACATATTATATTAAATCAAATAATAAACAATCACCTAATATATTAGATCACATAATAAACAATCACATTAAAAGTTAAATCACTTTATAAACAGTCACTTTATTGATTATATGACTTCATATGTATAAACAATGACTTTAAAAACTGGATCACATTACAAACAACTATGTGTAAATCCTCAAAATGTTTTAGCCTTGCTTCTCTTGGCCACATCAATGTTAACATCAGTACCATTCTAGTTTATTTTCAAATCATTTTCAAATGTTTATTGCTCTATTCAAGTTAAAGTCTTATGCACCAAGCATTTTTAAATGGTAGAAAAAATGTTTCATAATCAAGAGAGAAAGAGAGAGAAAAGGGGTTTAATGTCCACTCCACACAAACCAGGTCATTTCGGGACTAACACATATGGTTCAATTTTTTATTTCAATAATTCGCTTGTGTGTAGGGGTCTTTAGCAGTGGGAGGAAACCGAAGGACACAGAGAAAACCCACGAGGTTGGACAGGCGACCCTACTCCTTGTCACATACAACCGGGGAATCGAAATCCCCACTAGTTGACTCAATGACAGACCGTTTGATACAGCGTGCACGTGCTAACCATTCGGCCATCCAAAATCAAGAATCCTGGAGTGTGTGAATTCAAACAACTGGGACCCTGCAGTGTTTGATCAAGGGGACCCACAATTGAAAATTCACTCCTAGTAGTATTGTTATATCCACCATAACATCACAGATGTGAAAGGAGATAATTTAAAAAATTAAAAATCTTTGCAGTTAATTCATTTTACAATTGTTTGAAAATCCACAAATAAAATGTTAGAATTTATTTAACGAAACTAGTGAGGATAGTCGACATGATGGTTTAAATGTCAGTCTTATAAAGTTGTACATCTAATAAAATGAGTATTCTATTGAGAACTCTATCCTGTATTATGTTAGTAAGACTTTATATAAATCAGAACATAAACAGTGGGATATCTCCATTATACTAAATTTTTTGTCCTCTATCAAAATCCTTCCCATTATATTTTTTCTACTTTTATACTTGAGTTTTATTTTCAACAAAAGTTCATCTAGATTTCTCGGATTATACTTTAGTATGGTAGAGTTGATGAATCTAGAGTTTACAACAATGACTGGAATGAGTACAATTAGGAGAAAATAGTAACCAATCTAATCTAAACTACAGTCTGTCCTAGCTATTGATTTCTACATGACATAATCCAGATATACAGCATGAGGTTTTTTTCTTACCAGTAGAATGGAAAGAAAGATTTCAGTCTTCAATGGTAGTTATTTACTGTTATTTTTTGATAGATCGTGCATGTAGCTTTATTTTTCAGGCAATACTACAGATTTATATTAATGTTAACCGTTTATTACTTGGTACATGTAAATACTACCCTACTTTCTGCTCCAACTCGGCTAATGAAGACGGGCATATGCCATACAGTGTGCTATGAGGGAAATTTTGCCCGGACAGCCAGCGCTATAGCCTACTTTTATATCGAATTCCAACTGCCAAGAGATCTTTTAAGTGCATGCCAATGTGCACACCAGACCTGTTTTTTTGTACCATCCAAACAACTAGATAGCTGTCCTTGTCAGACCCTCCTTCCTGCACCTCTGACAAGGGGAAACCACGAGGGAAAATCCCGATGAACTTTCTCGGCCAACATTGGGATCAAACCCGCGACCTCCAGCCTAGCGAGCCAGCGTTACTTACTTAGCCCCTGTGGCTCCCTGAAAAAAAATTAGAGAATGTTGTGTTTTTTTGCACTTTTGCTCATTGTCAAAACTGCCTGAAATTTACACCGATCTTTAAACCAGTTTAACTTGACCGTCTAAACACAAAAGTGCGGCAAATAAACCAGTTTAAAACCCAGCTTGCGACCTGCTGTCTGCGAGAAGACTTCTTATTCTAAACTAGTTTATCTTGGCCTGCTTAAAATTGTTGGCAATAGATGCTGGGATCGTGCTGTGCCAATTGTCTAAGCTGTTTAATTCTATGTATCCTAGTATTCATATTTATTTATATGCAGAAAGTGTTGGCATCTACAAGTATTCGTGGAAAGGTATAGTTCAAACAATTTTTGCAATATTTTGAACGGATGTTTAAACATATGCCAGAAAATGGTATTTGCCCATACATAGTTAACTGTAACCTCTGACCGACAAAGTCAGAATAGTTAAACTGGTTTTGGTTGAAGTATGTGTGAACGCAACACTATACTGGTTTAAAATCCCGTCTGAATGAGGTATAGTGCTCCCTAGAACACCTCTAACTGTCTTGGTCACAGAACGAGTACCGTATGTACAGTCATAAAATAAGTGCTGTAGCTAGGGAATAGTAGTTTTGGGCTGTTTCAGGCAGGTCCAGCACTAAAGGGTTAATGGGGAATAACAGAATTAAAGGGACAAGTGACACTCCGTTTTTCAGACATGGATGTAGATTCCGTTATAGATTGATACATCATGGTTCATGGACCACACCAATCCCAGCAAAAATTTAAATATTTTGTCAATTGATTGGCATCAACCAATATAAGATGGGAGTAACCAGTATCAAAAACCTTTACATTTCCCTGTGAAAAGCAAAAGACAATTACGACAATATGGTGTTAATGGCATTCCATAAAAATCTAGTAAAACAATCATCCTAACTGTCGAGATTTATTTCTTTTAGATGACTATCATTTTCCCTCTGGTCGTTCAAGATCAATTCTTATCACATCAAGTAATTTATGGTCTTGATTTATTGTACAGTCAGAGCAATCCACATTAAGTCAAGGATTAAGATCATCATTATAGTATTTGTCATGAATGTTCCGTTTGGAATTCCATCGATTCTTCACAATAACTGAGACCCATACAAATGTTGACATTGTCCTTGCCTGAATAGTAATTAAGTCTAACAGACACCCAGTAACAATGAATGGGTCACAAACACAGGAATAAATTCAAAGAGATAGAAAAATCCCATTCAGTAACCTAAGAACTAATGATTGTGATCTGTTTGCAAATATTTGATATTGACAATGCCATGCACGCTGTAGTTCACACATAAATGAACTAAACTAATTTAGGTTTTAGATGATTGGTGGGATGGTTGAGTGGTCTAATGTGTACGCTTTAGATCACAAGGTCTGTCATTGAGTCATGCGATCTGGTTTCAATCCCAAGCTAGTACATGACAAGGGGTCTTTATACTAGGGTCACCTTCCCAACCTTTCAGGTATCCTCCCAATATAATATAGAAAGAATTATGCCTAATACTTTCATATATTTAAGATGTAAATGTAACATGTAATTTAACTCTGGTCTCCTCTATATTTGTAAGGTATTATATAGCTATAAAAAGATTCTTCATTTTATTAAATTCTACAGAGTGTTCTATTTCATTATGGTTCTTATCGTCGTTATAAAATGTATGATCTGACCTATTCAACAAAGGGAGCCACGGTGGCTCAGTGAGTAATACGTAATTGACTCGCTAACCTGGAGGTACCATGTTCAATCCAGGTGTTGTCCGATTTCCATGGTGTAGGAGGTCCAGTGTACACATTGCCGTGCATGTAAAAGGACTCTTGAGAGCTGGAATTCAAAATAAGAGAAGGCCATAGTGCGGCTGCCCGGGCAAGATTTCCCTGATAGCATACTGCATATACCTGTCTTTATTAGCCCAGTCGAAGCAGAAAAATAGGATGTTAAAATCCATTTCATTTCATTTCTATTCAACAACAGCTAGACTATCAATTTAATGACATCCAACGACTATTCAGATAACTTCCTTCAAATCGAAATGTCTCCTGGCTATTTATTTTACCGATAAGAAAAACATTGACTAGAAATCTCTACACTATTCATTAACAACCTTTTTGAAAGGAAAACAGAACAAGATATGAACATCCCTTAATCATTATTAAAAGCTATGCTTGAGACCTTTGTAAACATGCTGTGAAATTGCTCTAAGGGAAACAGGAATTTATATCAGATTTATAATCCTATGTCCTATGATACCGATTCATGATTGGCTTATTATCAGTCTGGTATTAAAGTCAGACAAAATAGACACGATACTGTGATCTAAGGGATACGCAAGTCAACCACAGACTCTTTATAATATGATCAAATATTTAAAGGGTTTTTCTATTGCATAAGGCAAATATGGTTAAATATACAAAAATGAATGGAGATGTTCCCTGATCTAAACATACTAATCAATAGGTTTGAGAAAATGTATTTTTCTCTTTGGCCTATATGCAATGGGTGCATCTCTTGAGCTAATAGATGAGTACCAACTAAACGACATTACATTTCTATAAATATATATTTTTGCTGTGATATTTACACTAGTTCAGCCTACTAAAATGGTATTAGCCAATCACAACTGTTTAATTTAAGACACCAAAGACAACAGATAATTGATACATAAAAGTAGCCAAATCTTTATATATTTAAAATATTTAAATGGAATAATGAAATAAAAAAATAAATAAAATGAATTCCATTGGCTTTTATCCATTTGTCAAATATTTTGACTTTTCAGTAAGCAATTCTGATGTCATCTCCTGCAATAAGAAATCAATGTTTTGGAAAAGAGGCACAATTCTTTGAAATTCGAGATGTAATGTTGTAATCATGTAATCGAAACTGAGATGGGAAGCTAAATGTAGTTAGTGACAATAAGCCTTTTGTTGCACATCCTGCGTTCGATCGCAAAATATCACAACTTTTTTATTTATTTCTGCCTGTAA